GGGTGGTTCTTTGCTTCGTTTTTGGTGTTGATTTGGTTCGTTATTTTGGATCTTCTTCAACTCTGGTTTTGAAGATTTTGGTTCATCTATTTGGTGAGGTCTTTTCTCTTGTTTATTTGTGATTATTTGGAATTCACCTAAGGGTGTTTTTGTGAGACCATTCGTGTCTTGTTTGTAATCCTTTGGAACTTATTTGGTTGATAGTAGAATCGGATTTCGATCCTGTGGACGTACCTCACATTGAGGGAACCACGTAAAATTCTTGTGTTGCTTTTGATTTAATTTTTCCGCATTAATTTTCATTCCAATTGATTGATTTACTTGTGGGGAATCACATATTTTCCCTAACAGGCCACACAGGCAAAAAGCAACACTCACTACAGATGTTAGCGTCGCTTCTGTGCTTTCCATTTATGCCTAAAACATCTATTTCTTTGGCCTTGAAACTGTTCATGCAGGCTAGCAAGGGTAGTTCTGATGATCAATTACAATTGGACTGCTCTTCCTAGTGGACACTTCGGGTTGCATGGTATACACCTAGCTTATCAATTGCTATACCAGGTAACTCTTTTGCTCCACCACATCATACCTGTTCATAAGTTCAAAGTTAGGCCAAGTTTGGGAAGACCAAATAAGTGCACTTTTTGACTTTTTATGAAATATGGGTTGGATTTGGGTTGGGTTTGAAGTGATGTGTTAGAGAGGTGATGTGACTTAAATAAGATGATGTGACTTAAATAGGATAGTGACTTTTTGGATTTTTTTGAGGATGCCAAACTTGGCCTTGGTATATGAATTTGCTCAACCTTGTGAAAAGAATGCAAAACATTATGAAACTATTAGCACTATACCAATTGAGGCATGGACTACTGCTATTGCTATGGGAAATATAAAGTCTTCATTTCTAGAGTTCAATACCCACATAATTCAACATAATTTTTCACTTGAACTAACAGCATCTAAATGCATTCAATCTGTGAGCTATATTTGAAAGGGAAAGTCTATAGTACATTTTGTACAAAAAACGTACGATACATACAAAATCAATGGTTAGGATTGAGCCACATCATTAAAAGTGACCTGCTAAACAGGTCACTTTTTATAGTTATGAGCTAAAATCATATTTCTTCATAACTATAATCAAATTGATCATAACTTAGCTATAACTACATCTCATAACCAACACCATTTTGTTCATAACTAATATCACATATTTCATAACCACATCTCATAACCAACACCATTTTAGTCATAACTAACATCACATATTTCATAATCATAATCACATATCTCATAACCAACACCACTTTGATCATAACAAATATCACATATCTCATAACTATTGATCACATATCTCATAACCACATCTCATAACCAATCCCTTTGAGTCATAACCAACATCACATATCTCATAACCACCAGTCACATATCTCATAACCAACACCTTTTTGTCATAACTAATATCACATATCTCATAACCACTAATCACACATCTCATAACTACTACCCACATACATCATAACCACATCTCATAACCAATCCCTTTGAGTCATAACCAACATCACATATCTCATAACCACTAGTCACATATCTCATAACCAACACCTTTTTGTCATAACTAATATCACATATCTCATAACCACTAATCACAAATCTCATAACTACTACCCACATACATCATAACCACATCTCATAACCAATCCCTTTGAGTCATAACCAACATCACATATCTCATAACCACTAGTCACATATCTCATAACCAACACCTTTTTGTCATAACTAATATCACATATCTCATAACCACTAATCACAAATCTCATAACTACTACCCACATACATCATAACCACATCTCATAACCAATCCCTTTGAGTCATAACCAACATCACATATCTCATAACCACAAGTCACATATCAGTTTCTCGATACATTTTTTTTTATCCACATATCTCATAACCACTCATAACTATTATCCACATATCTCATAACCACTCATAACTATTATCCACATATCTCATAACCACTCATAACTATTATCCACATATCTCATAACCACTCATAACTATTATCCACATATCTCATAACCACTCATAACTATTATCCACATATCTCATAACCACTCATAACTATTATCCACATATCTCATAACCACTCATAACTATTATCCACATATCTCATAACCACTCATAACTATTATCCACATATCTCATAACCACTCATAACTATTATCCACATATCTCATAACCACTCATAACTATTATCCACATATCTCATAACCACTCATAACTATTATCCACATATCTCATAACCACTCATAACTATTATCCACATATCTCATAACCACTCATAACTATTATCCACATATCTCATAACTGTTTATAACCATTACCCACATATCTCATAACCACTCATAACCATTATCCACATATCTCATAACCACTAACACATATAGTATAACCAAACACCCTTTGACACTACTTTACTCATAACCATTACCCATATATCTCATAACCACTAACACATATAGCATAACCAAACACCCTTTGACACCACTTTGCTCATAACTATTACCCGCATATCTCATAACCACAAACACATATAGCATAACCAAATACCCTTTGACACCACTTTGCTCATAACCATTAGCTACATATCTCATAACCACTAACACATATAGCATAACCAAACACCCACACCACTTTGCTCATAACAATTACCCACATATCTCATAACCACTAACACATATAGCATAACCAAACACCATTTGACACCACTTTGCTCATAACCATTACCCACATATCTCATAACCACTAACACATATAGCATAACCAAACACCCTTTGACACCACTTTACTCATAACCATTACCCACATATCTCATAACCAACATCACATATATCATAACTACTAATTACATATCTCATAACCAAACGCTCTTTGACTTATAACTATACCACTCTGCTCATAACCAAAATCACATATCTCATAATCACTAATCATATATCTCATTACCCTTACCAACATATATTATAACCACATCTCATAACCAGCACCCTTTGTTTCATAATCAATATCACATATGTCATAACTACTAATCATATTTCTCATAACCACTACCCACATATAGGGGTGTAAATTTAGCCCATGAGCTCACGGCACACCCCAAGTCCGCTCGCGCCCTGGGTAGACCTAACTAGGCTTGAGCCTAAACCCAACCTAAGACCCTGAGCTATGTGTTCTAGAGCCTGACCCGACCCTGGTGTGTTATGGAGTGTGACCCATCCCGTGAGATTGCCCCGAAATTTTCTTTCCCATCTGGCTCGACCTGACCCCAATGGCTCCCTGCCCCCATTGTCAGTGCAATGGTCAAAAATTTAAATCAAAACAATTTGAAAGAGTCATATAACCGTTAATTCCACCAACAATCAATTTTTTTTTTTTTTTATATATATAAATTAACTCCTCCCTCCCAAGTCCTATAAATACCACCCCTCTCACATTTTATTTCTCACAACAAATTTGTCTCTCAAACTCTCATTCTCTCTAAACTCTCATACATATACAAATCTTTGGCCGTAGTTATGATTTTATCAATTTGCACATATGTTATAGAACTGTTGAAAATGAATATTACGATTTTGTTGTACTGTTTTGCTATCTCAGCTCTCTTCATCAATCAAACATCTCTCTCATTCCTTACTGTCACTGTAGATATTTCCGATGTTCCTTATCGGAAACAACACCATCTTTGACATTATTTTCATAGACGACAAGTCCGTTCAGTCTCTCTTACTCATATTCCCTTTCCTTTCGCTCTATTGGTTAATTTTCTCTAACTCTCATTTCCTATTCCATGGCTATAAGTCGTGGATTAAATTATTTAATTATTGTCATTACATTCTGTGTTTATCTGTATCATCAGAGATCCCGATTGGTGATTAAATTATTTAAAAATTTTAGATGTTTTTGTTACACCAACTAGTGGATAGTTACATAATTTTTGGTTAATGTTATGAAATTTTGGAAATTAGTTACGACATTTGTGATTTTCTATAATTTTAAACAATTTCGTTACGCCAATTAGTGATGCAGTTATGTATTTTCTATTTTATATCACAAAACTCTGTGACTTGATTACAATATTATGGTCTGTTTGGTAACTATTCCGTTTTTAGTTTTCAGTTTATATTTATAAAAATTTTAAAAACTGTCATAAAAACTTGTTTGATAATTTTTTTTGATTTATAATGATTGTCTCAGTTTATAAATTTGAGGAAAAAACGTAAACTCAAAAAATGAGTTTACGTTTTCAGTTTTCAATTTTGTTTTCAATTAATTTATTTTCAATTATCTTTTTCAAATGATTTTTTTTGAAATAATTTTTTTTTCAAATAAATATTTTTTAATTATTATTTTTCAATTAAATTTTTTTTTTCAAATAATTTTTTTTTTCAATTAACTTTTTTTTTCAAATAATTTTTTTTTTCAAACAATTTTTTTTTCAATTAATTTGTTTCCCAATTAATTTTTTTTCAAATAATTTTTTTTAAACTAACTTTTTTAAAATTATCCATTGTCATAAATAACAAAAAATAAATATAAATATTTTAGGTCTGAATAAACATATTTTTTAGTTTATGTTTTTAAAAATTTTCAAACATTTTGTTCAAACCAAACACGTTTATAAAATTTTTGTAAACATAAATAAAAAAATATATGATACCAAACGCTATGTAAGTACTTGTAAATAAATTATTCTCGGTTGTTCAATCATTTCAAAACCAGTAAATAATCACCATCAATCAAATTCAATACAATTAATGATTAATCACATTGTTTTAAATGTCAAACTGTCTTTTTTTGGGAGGGTCAAACAAACTGTTAAAACTAGGGGTGTCAGTTTGGATTGGTTTTGAAGGAAAATCATTAATTAACAGTCCACAATTAAAAAAATTTCAATTTGTCGGCAACTCACCTATCTTTAAAATTGCCAACGGTGACAAATCCCTCAGACCCTTTCTTCATCCCAAACGTCTTCAAAAATTACTCTCTCTCTCTCTCTCTCTCTCTCTCTCTCTCTCTTTGCCCTTGCCACGACCGAGACCTGTTTTGTTTTCGCCGCCGCATCCTCTACCACGGAGAAAAGCTCCCAAAGCTGTTGACAAAGATCTCTATAGGATCTCGCCGGAGCTCCTTCTCGCCAAGCACCGAAGAGTGAGTTTATTCTGCCCTTTTCTTTTCCTCCTTGTTTTAGCAAGCTACATGCCTCAATGTATGTCTCTCTTTCTCGCTCTGCTACTTGTTTCTCTCCCTTTCTCCATCTCTATTCTATGAAACCCTAGACCGAAATCCCCTTCTTCGAAACTGCCCCTTTCACCTTTGTGAACTCACTGGGTTGGTTTATAAAATTAGGAAAATATGATTTGAATAGGTTTAGGTTTTTTATGTTTGTTAGTTGTGTTGATTCCACACACACACACACATATATATATATACACACTTGAAATTTGGCTTGTGTGAAATCTGATGTGTGGGTAATTGAATTTTGTAACCATGTAACTGATATGAGACTAATTTTTTATTTGCTTATTGAAATCTGTTTATTTTTCTATCAATTACTCGTGGTGGCTTGATTTTCCTATGAGAAACAAAATTAAAGTGGTTTGGATGTATTACCTTTAGCAATTTTCTGGGAATTGTATAAACTGATAAACGAATGGATATTTTGATGTTACTGTGTAAACTCATTAAGGTTTTATAGTTCACAAGCTCACAGACAAACAATTGGATATTGTAAGTTCATGAAGATGCATTGATAATTCTTTGTCACATTTCCATTTACAAGTTATTGACCATAAGTTTTCTGAGTTTCTATAGCTTGAATAGGGACATTTGTTTCTGCTTCTCATTTTTTCATTTGTTCCTCTGTTATTGCATGATGTAGTCCTTCTGGTCATTGGTGCTTTTGACTCACTATAATATTCCCTTTTCGCAGTTACAGCTGCATATTTTGCCTCTAAATTTGAGGATTTTGATTTGGTTGTTTATACATATTACTTGGCTATAATTCTAACATATTTTTGCCATACTGCAGGTTGAATCTGAGTACCTCCCTCTGTACACTAACTATGGTCTAGGTCTTACCACTTGGAGTCCACTTGCATCAGGAGTTTTGACTGGAAAATATAACTCTGGAACCATCCCACCTGATAGTCGGTTTGCATTGGAAAATTATGTGGTAAACCTATTTGGAAGTTACAATTTTGTTTGCTGAAGTACAGATTTATTATCATAATTTATATTTGGCTTAAAGTTGCACTTGAGTCTCCTGTAATTTTTAGTGAATGTGCTCACTGCACAATTCATCTTTTATCTTTGTTATCTTGCTTTATTAAAATAAAAACTTAAAGACATTCATCTACGGGTGGCTAAGTATTTTTTATGTGAAATATATGGATGAATAGATTCTTTTGTGAAGATATATTGGCATATGCAATGCTACATTAATTTCTGTAACATGGGATAGTAATCCCAGTTTTCATTGAGTAGATAAACTAGGTTACGAGAGAACAGACAGCACTCTCTTTCATCCCCTCTTTCTGTTGAGCACTACTTCTTCTTCTTTTTTTTTCTTTTTTTTTTCTCGTTCTTCGTTTGTATCACCATTTACATGGTAGAATCTCATTCTTTTTGGTTTTCTCCTTAATTTTCTCTTCAATGCAATGTTCCAATCACAAGCATCCTTTTAGGATGTGACACAAAAAGGTGAAACTAACCATTTAAAAATAACATTTTGATTTAGTTTTCTTTTCCTTCTAAATCTTCAAATTTTAGAATTTATCACCAACTTGGTTTGGGAAATGAAACCAAAGCCAGAAAATCAGAGAAGTTGGGGGACTTGGTGGCTTACATCCACCATTTGGGGACATTGATTGTCAGCATCTATACAAAAGTCCTAGTCTAGTTTTCATATCTCTTTTTTTGCTCCAACCAGAGCATTTTTTATGCAAAGTTGATCTTACAACCCATGCATTTTTTCAGATTATTGAACATGCAAGTTGAATTGGTCTGATAGGCACTCCAATTTACTTAATTGTTGATTTGTGATGGGGTTTAATGTGTTATCTGTGTGTTGGTGTGTAGGTTGATTCTATAATCATCATTGGCTCCTATTCCTTATTATCTACCAGTAATATAGTTGGAATTTGCATTTTTTTTTTCTTTTTTCATTTCAGTTTTTTAATTTTCATGGCTTCGAGTGCTGAGAAGTGCAAATAGGATTATTGGATTATGTGGAACATCTGTATCTAGGTATCTATCGTAAGAGTCTCGGGTCAGTTTTGTCTTAAGGGTGCGATTCTGGGTTCTGTGGTTTTGTTTTGTTTTTATTTTATTTTCTCTGCCTAGGTTGGCTTTGTATTTCAGAGCTCATGCTTTTGCAAATGGATTTCACTTGTGAAGTTTTGTCATTCTTTTAACAATTTTTTCTTCATGAATTGTTTGTGTTAGTGAAATAGATTTTCTTCTAAACTAAGAAATGAAAAATAGAGAAAAGACCTAAAAATTAGGATACGGGTACAACCAACATACATTCGTAAAATATATATATAATTTTTAGTACTGTATTAAATATAAACTCAAACCATTCTTTGAGCCAATGGCCAACCACTTTATGCTTTTTTAGTAGGTCCTACACAAATTTCATTTCAATATCAAATCTACATTGTTTTTATTGTCCTTGTACATTTTGTTTTTATTCTTTATATGTCATATGCAATAGTGTTGTACACAAGTTTACTTGCTTGTTTAACTCCAATTTTAGTGTGAAACAAATAATAAATAAATAAAAGTATAAAATTTCTGAAACCTCAATAGCATCAGAAATTTCGAGAATTGCTGATAATTCCCCACCTATAACTTTGAGTGTAAAGTCCATGTTTTTCTGTGGCAGAATCATAGGGGGAATTGTAGTATCAAAAATCAAGTGCATAGTAATTTTTCAAAATTTTATATAATTCTTTTTATGATGACAAGATAAATATATGAATATTTGCACAAATTTGCGTGATTTATCATGAAGATGACTTCCAAAATGTTGGAAACTAGACTAATAAGTTCAAAGAGGGACAAAGATACAAAGTACCCACCTTTTCCATCAAAGAATAACAAATAGCCCCAAAATATGGAAACTCGTCAATTAGTGGTTTGAAAATTAATCTGAAAACTCCCGTGAATCCAATATTTTGACCTAGATGAAAATATATACGAAAAAATATTAAAGTGGCATCTTATGGTAAAATTCCAATAACCGAACATTCTTTACTTTATATCATGTTATCGAATTTTTTAGTCACCTATTATTCTTCAAAGAGAGTGAAAGAGAACACATTGATTATCTATAAAATAAGTATTAGAAGTACTATACACACAAAAAATAAATAAATAATGTAAATAAATAAATAAAAAGTGAAAATAAAATAAATTTGAGAGTAGTTTTGTAATAGTTTTGCTACTAGGAAAAAGTTTTATTGATATGAGAAATAAGTTGAAGATCTCCTGTATAGGTAATCCAATGCCGACTCTAGTTTTAACATCAAGTATGATACTTTTCCTGTATGGTGAACTGCCAGTCTCCTTGCTGTACTGGTTTACTGTATGGTGAACTGTTCTGGTTTCTGATTTCAAGTAGGCTCTGCTGTTTTGAACTGCCATTCTGGTGTTGCTGCTATTTGAGGTGTTTTTTTTGCCTCAGTTTTGGTGTGGCCTCAACTGTTGGCCTTGTCTGGTTCTGCTAATCCAACTTCTGCTTATTCTGGTTTCCCTATCTATCTGTGCTGTTCTCTGTTTGATTTGTGGGTGGCTGTTCTTTGTTTGATCTGTTATTTGGGGGCTGTTATTTAGATGCCATTGCAGTGCTCTTGTAGTTTGGTTATAAGTTGGAATGTTCATCAGTTTTCCCAAGAAAACATGCATGGAATTCTTTGAAGCCCAATTTCTGTTGTGCCAATGTTCTTTTTAAGGATATTTTTTGGCTTATCGGATGCCACTGTCAGTGTTATGTCAAGGCCATGCTTCCATAGCACTTGTTGTTGTCTCAGTAATATCAGATGCCTGCTCTGCATAAGTATTCCTGCTCTGGGTGTTGTGTCTGGTTGTTGGTTGGTCTGTTTTTTTCTTTTTTTCTTTTTTCTCGACTTCCTCATCAAAGATCAAACATAAATCAAACAAACCTGTGAATTGTACAGCCACAGTACCAAGAGTCAACTTTTAAAACTTGAGAGATGATAAGATAACTGATCTATATTGTTCAAGAATTGACTTAGCAGAACTTCGAATTAGCTCTGATGTTGCCTATGCCACCATGTGTCAAAAATGAAGTAATTTAAGTAAAATAAAATAAAATGCTTTCATTATCATCACATTGAATCCAACAACAAATAAAAGGGTAAACTACCAATATGTCCTAATAGCTGTCATTATTAGCATCATCAATGATCTTCATTGATATAGGGTGTGGTCCACATCACATCAAGTTAAATCTATACCAAACATTCAAATTCTAGGAACTTTTCTACGTACAAATAATTTATGTTAAGCAAGAATTATAACCAAAGCCATAGTTGTTGTCATTTATAATTACTCACTTTATGATATATAACTTCATGTAACTATAACATATGGATTGATGTTGGCTCAAATCATTTGGAAATCCACTCCCACATTTTTATTATATTTTGAATTTTTTTGGAAAATAATAAGCTAGCACAAAAGAAGAAGAAAATTATGTGAATGTGCTTTGCTTTCTATAACGTTGAAACCATCATATTTCCTTAATGTTATGTTTGGATCATGGATTTAGCTAGGGATTTGGAAATGGAAAGGGAAAGGGAAAGGGAAAAGATGTGTTGAATGTAATTATAAGAACATTTGTTTATTTAATTTTTTTTTGTATATATTTTTATTTAATTTTTTGTTGAAGTGGTCAAACGGTTGGTTGTGGTACATTTGTTTAAGTGTTTATTTATGTAATGGTTATTGAGACTTTGAACAAAGGTAGTAGACTTCCATCTTTGTTATTGTTTATGCAGTTTGTTAATGTCAAAAGATGTGCAAAATAATATTTTTCGTACATAGATTCTTTCTTTTCTTCCCAGAATCATTAATTTCCTTACGTATTGCCTTCTTTACTAACTCTATTTCAATGTTCTGTTTTTGTTTGTTATAGGTCCTCAATTTCTCCATCTTAACGTAGAAGTAAAGCTATACCTCCTCCATCCCTTCGTCTCTAGCGGTTGCATTAGCAGGTGTGTTTTTTAATTTATTTGCTTTTAATTAATAGCAGGGCACTGGCGGGTGTGCTATTTTATTTATTTGTGCTGTCTTTTTTTATTTATTTGTTTATTTTAATTGATAGCAGGGCACTGGCGGGTGTGCTATTTTATTTATTTGTGCTATCTTTTTTTATTTATTTGTTTATTTTAATTGATAGCAGGGCATTGGCGGATGTGCTATTTTATTTATTTGTGCCGTCTTTTTTTATTTATTTGTTTATTTTAATTGATAGCAGGGCACTGACGGGTGTGCTATTTTATTTATTTGTGCTGTCTTTTTTTATTTATTTGTTTATTTTAATTGATAGTAGGGCACTGGTAGGTGTGCTTTTATTTTGTTTGTTTATTTTAATTGATAGTAGGATACTTGCGGGTGTACTGTCTTTTTTTTACAGGGAGATGATGTCACAAGAGAAAGATTGAATTCATTTTTGGTTGAACTCAAATTTGTTGAATGACATGTAAATGTCTGGAAATTCTGAACTGATACTTTTGCTTCCCACCCACGACAAAAATAAACATAATTTTGAGGGAGTAGAGAAATGTACATGTTTGAAAAGAAAGAACTCTAGGGCAAATACATCACAAGAGAGTCTGGTTCAAGTAAATTCATTAATTTTGATTGACATTTGAAAATTCTATACTGAGATTTTTGCCTACAGCCACCCATCACAGACGAAGCATGAATCCTCTAGAGTGTTTATTTTATTTTATTTTCAAGTGATTCTACATATATAATAATTGCTTCCAAAATTGTGTTGTAAGTAGCAGAGAGAATAAGGTATGGAGGGGATGTAAAATGAAAAGACAAATAGTTGTAGTCCTATTTAAACCCTCTTTAGGGATAATAAACGAGCTGAACAGTTGATTGTTATAACTTGCTTTGATAACTTTAGCGAATTTTAAAATTTGTTCAACTTTGGTTCGTTAAATTTTTGAGTCGATATCAAATGAGTTTTTCTCTAGCCGACCTGAAGTAGTTTGGTAGTTTTAGATTCATCAAACAGAGCCGAACAAGCAATTGACTATTCAAGTTTGGCTTATTTACTTAACGAACTGAGCTCGAACGAGTTTTTAATGAGCTAAACATAAGTCGAGCTCAAGTTGTTTGGTTCGTTTATCACTCCTAAAGTTGTTGAAAAAGTTGCCAATGTCTGGCGGATGGCGGTAGCTGGCAACAATGGTTGGTAGCGGTATGGTGGGACAAATAGGTGACACGTGTATAATTAGGTGATATTTGGACAAATAATTAGAAAAGTACGTGACATGTGTACAGATAAATAACATTTGAACATATAGATAAATTTTTGGACAGATAACCTCCTTTTCATTTGAACACGTGTATAAATTTTTTTTTTCATTCGAGGGTATAACCTCATTTTGCTTTCTATTGATGTTTTTATTTTCACTACCATTTTCATTTATATTAAAAAAAAGTAATTTGCATGGTAGGGATATACATAATATCACTTTTTCCTGAATAATTTTTGATAGGGATATCCCCTAGTATATCAAAAAATTTGCCCCTATGTTTATGTGTATTGTAATTATAAGAACTCTCTCGATTCTTATTTACTTGGAATGGTGATCCATAAATATATGGGTCCCTCTTATTTTCATAATTAATAGATCTATAAGATGAAAGATTATGTCCATAGTATTTTTGAAAATTCTCATTTCGATTTGGTAATGAATATACTTCATAGTCGTTTTGTTTTTTGAAATGAATTAATAGGTCTTTTTCATATGAATTCTCTTTGTTTAAATATTGATTTTGAATTGTACGACATTGACTGATTCTATTTTTTCCATTTTGCTGCTATTAATCTAGACCATCTAATCTGAGATAAATGGTATTGATAATGACCTTTTAACCAGTTTTTCCATTGATTTAGTCCAGAATTCCGAAGTTTCTTAGGTCTTAATTCATAATGAATTATTCCTTGTTTTCCAAAATAATCTTTTATTGAAGTCTTAAGAAAAAAAGACGTTCCGTGATATTGAAGAATAGATCTTAACTTATACAAGGAGGATAAGTCAAAAAAATTCTGTGAATTCTAATTACTAACATTATATATAGTCGAAATAAAATTCATTTTATTTTTATTTGTTTTATTAATTCTTTGCTATAAAGTTATAAGTTTGATTAATTATTTGCTATAAGTTGGACAGTGTATAAAGTTATACTTGCGGGTGTGTTTTAGAGCAATCTAAATATCTAAAAATAACCCAAGTCAATTAAGAAAAATACCAAAGAACCCAAATGAATTGCCTTAATGAGTCTCCATATATTTTTATTTATTTGCTTTTTCCTTTTCTTTGTTTCTATTTTATTGTGTTTCTGTTGATCAACCAATATTTTGATTGTTGATTACAGAATCATTCTCTATTTATTTTGATTTTCAATAACTATGTCATTAATGGCAAGTTATTGAATGTTTTCAATAACTATGTCATTAAATCTATGTACATTATTCTATTATTGTTTTTGTCTGTTATTTGCTCTTTTACAAAATTCTCTTATGTGATTTTAGGAATTTTCATTCATTTTATAAGATAATGTTATTCTTTTCGTATTGTTTTTGGTGTAGTTATCATGGATCCTTTTGGATGTACCAAATTTGAGCGTAAGCTTGAAGATGACGAAGTTTGTTGGAATAAAGAAGAATTAGGTTCCCATGCAAATGACCCTATTCAAAGTTTAATCAAGAATGATGTTCTTGAAATGCAATTCAATTCAGAAGAGGATGCCAATGATTTCTATAATCAATATGCTAAAGTTGTGGGATTTAGCATTAGGAAAGACACGCGAACAATGCAGGCAACAAAGGTTCTTAGTAGAAAATGGGTATGCTCAAGGCAAGGCCAAAGAGCAAAGCAACACTTGGCCCGTATTGATCGAAAAAGAGCTGCCAGGGCATTGACTAGAGTTGGTTGTGATGCTCATTTCCGCATAAGGTACAATCTGGATGTAGGCAAATACATTGTCACTCACTTTAACATGGAACATAACCATCCATTGGCAACATCACCATGTATGCCATTTCTTCGGTCGCATAGGTTTGTAAAGATCCCCGACAAAGCTCAAGTAAAGACTTTGCACGATATTGGTGTCAAGACAAGCTAGATAATGGATTTGTTGGTGCAACAATCTGGGTCTTTCGCGAACGTGGGCTTTATTCACAAGGATTTGCACAATTATATTCAAGCCGAGCGCAAAGTAGAAATGAAGGATGGTGATGCGGAGTGTGCTTTGGCTTACTTACGTGCAAAAGCTGATGCTGATCCTTACTTCTTTTACAAGTATGACAAGGATCAAGAGAATCGGCTTGACAAATTGTTTTGGGCAGATTCAAGGTCTCGCCTAGACTATGCTGCATTTGGTGACGTGTTGGTCTTCGATACAACTTATAAAACAAATGCATATAACAAACCTTTTGTTATTTTCGCCGGGGTCAATAACCATTTTGAAACCACCATAAAGCTTGCTTGAGCGACCAATGCAAAGCTTCAGGTCTGCAACGCAGAAGCACGCTCGAGCGAACGAAAGCTTGCTCGAGCAAAGAACACCAAGCTTCAAGTTTTACCACCACCCGCTACCTACTTACCACCACCACTTATCACCCACCGGCCACCACCATCCACCACCTGACACCACCAACTACCCACCACTACCAGCCACCTGCCACCCACCCGCTACCACCACCCACCACCCATCACCACCACCACCATTACCCACCACCCACCGGCCACCACCACCCACCATCCACTCGCTACCACCTACTACCCGCCATCGTCACCCACCACCCACCCACCACTTGTTACCACCAACGCCACAACCACCCACTCGCTACCACCTGCCACCGTCACACATCCACCCAAC